GCTCCCACCGCGAGGCCGCCGGCAGCAGGAGGCGGCCGCTTGCTCCCTCGTCCCCCAGTGCGCGCGGAGCCCCCGAGCCATGGCCAGCCCCGCAGGCAGCCCCGAAGACCCGGGCAGGCTCCGAGGCAGGGATGGCCGGCCGCGGCGGGAGGAGGACGATGCCCCTCCGGAGCAGAAGAGGCTGAGGCTGGGGCTGGAGGGCGGCAGCGCGGAGACGCAGGACGGGCCGGACGCGCCGGGCGGCGAGGACAGCGGCGCCCCGGCAGGGGGCGAGGGCGGAGGTGTAAGTGCGCGGGGCGCGGGCGGCGCGGCCGGTGGGGTGGCTCGGCGCTCCCGCCGCCGCGGGGTGAAGTTGGGCAGCAACTCCTGGGGGTGTGCACTGTGGGCTCGGGGGGCCCCCCGGAGAAGCGGGTGCTCCGGCGTTGCTGGCGAGCACCTTTCTTATTTAGGTGCATTGACTTCCTGATTCTCCCACGACGTGGCTGGCCGGGGGACCCGCTGGACTCTGCGGCTGACCAGAGAGCGGGAGAGGTGTCCTGGGGGCCTCTAGCGAGTGAAGGGGATGAGGGGTGCCCTGAGCAGCCCTTACGCTGCACCCGACGCTGGCCGGGGCTGTTTGGGGTGCCCCTGTGGGACTTTGCTGACCGTGCCTACTTCTCACCGGGTGAGGGGCTTGCGTGAGGATCCCCTGGGCACCAGGCGTCCCCGGCCTACGGGCTGCAGCTGCTCACCAAGCCCCTGGCCTGCCTGCTTCTTCCTGCTCTTGCCCCCCTCTCTGTTTGGGCAGCAGGAGTGGAGAGGGGCAGGCGGCATCCATCTGAGAAACCGCTGTCCTCGCCCCGTCCTGCAAACAGGGACGGCCAGGCGAAGTTCCCTGCATCCCTGGGGCTGTGCTGCCGGGCTTGGGGCCCTGACCTCGAGCGTGAGCGCGTGTGTTTACTCATGTGGATGTGTGCGTCACTGGCCGTGTGTGGGATGGAGCCCCGCGGCCGGCCTGACCTCTAGGGATGCACTTTCTGAGTCCTGGCTCCGCTCTGCCAGTTATGACTTCTTCGACCTTAGGAGGGGTGCATTTGGAGGACGCCGAGGGCTGGCGGACAGCTGTGCTTAGCAAGGGCCGCCCCCTTGCTGGTTTAGAATGGATGATGGGGCTGACCTCTTTGTTCCTTCCAAATATTTTATTTGTGACCATTTGCTTGGTTGAGTTTGTCTTAAAAATTTGATTCGTGGCTAATGAGCCCCAGAAGGGAGAGGTCCCCTTCTTCCTGCACCGGCCTGCATCACAGCCCAGGTGCCCAGGCCCAGGGCTGCTCTCCAACGCTGCTCAGGGCCTTCCCGCAGTTACGCTGTCATCACCCCTGGCTGCGCCTGCAGTCGGCGCATGGGCACTTGGACCTGCGACCAGGTGAACCCTCGTGGCGATCCCAGTAGGAAGAGAACAACACTTAGAGGCGGTTTTCTGAGACACGTCGTGGAAAGGTTGAGAAGACAGTAGTGTCACGGTGTGCTGAGAGGAGCTGTCCCGGTCCCACTCATAGAGGTGTAGCAGTGTGACACCGTGAAACCTTTACTGTCGGGAGTCCCTTCTTCCTCCCTTCGCTTCCCCCCTTTGCACGGAACACTGGCAAACATCAGGACGCCAGAATAGAGTGTAATGCCCACTTTCAGTGGAGAGGGTTGGCGGGTAGGTCTGAGCCAGGCTGCTGGGGTTTACATGCTGGCTGTACCTCTCCTTAGCTGGGTGACATGGCACAGGTTGCTTAACCTCTCTGAGCCTTCGTGTCCTCACTGGCAAAATGGATATGTCAGCAGGCCCCATTTCATGGGGCTATGTGATTCCTGAGGTTGTTAAGTAGGGCTTGTCCATGGGAAGTATTTAGCATTGCTCTTGGCACATACTATGGGCCCAGTGAATGTGATTTAGAACCAAACTTTACTCCGTGACGGTTCTCTGGTGTGATGTTTGGTACTAGAGGGCCTTCAGCCAGCATCTCCACATTAAATGCTTCGTGGAGGTTGAGAGAATTATGTATATAGGATTAAATGTGTAAAAGGGAGAAATCTCACTGAATATTTGATCCACAAAAGGAAATGGGCACCCTGTGGTTGAAGGATTCTGCAGTCCTTGGACAGAGCCTGTCTTTGTTTCCTGAGCCTGAAGTCAGTCTTTTCTTTTTGGGCTGCTGGGGTCTCTGTGGTCCTGTGGACTCTCCCTTGATTTTCTTTTTTTTATTTATTTTATTTTATTTTATTTTTTTGGTTTTTCGGTTTTTCTCCGGTACCGGGAACCGAACTCACGACCTTGCGCTTGCCAGGCAGGCGCTTTTGCCGCTGAGCTAAATCCCCAGCCCCTCCCTTGATTTTCAAGTTGAAGATTTCCCAAAGCCCAGTGTCCCCCACAGCACCTGTCAGACGTCCTTTCTTGTTTCCATAGGGACGCTTTCTGTGGAGCCCAGCAGCAGTTTGGGGCTGGGGTGCGAGCAGCAGCGGCTTCTCTGGGGAGTAGCGCGCACCTTTGCGCTCAGGGACCGTGTGTGGATGGGTCAGGAAAGCAGAGCCTCCTCACAGGGTTTTGTCTGTGGAGACCGTCAGCTCAGTGAAAATGTCAAGACCACCTTTGTTGTAATAGCAGGTTGTTTGCACTTTTCTCTGCCACGCTGCATGGGCAGCAGTGGGCATCAGCACCCTGCCGTTGCCAGGCCCAGACATTTTTAAAGGATAAAATGTCCTTTCCCACCAGGCCCAGTGCTCTCATGCTTGGTGTTTAAGGGAGACTGCTTGTTCCTCTGACTGACTCCCAAGCTTTGCTCTCTTTTTTGGGGCAGGGGACTGCTTTCTTTGGGGGTTGCTGAGGGTGCTTTAGGAAGTAAACTGCAGCCCAAAAGCTCTAGTCTCACTGGAGGTCCAGGGGAAGGAGGGTTTACAGGTTCATTTTGCCTTCTCCTGCTGAAAAAACTTAGTCCTCTCGGAGCCTTCCCTGAGCCCTTTGCAGTGAAATTCCCAGGGCAGTTCCTGCCCTCAGCAATTCCTGGAGAGGAAGAAAAATCTCCCCTAGACAGTTGCTTCTCTATCTCAACTGTCTTCTCAGGCTTTCCCAAGACCAGGCATCCAGCAGAGAGCTCTGGGTGTTCTCTGGGCAGAACTGAGCACTCCAATTCCTGAACACATCTGCGTCCCCCAAATCCCTGATGGACTCGCTCGGCAAGACTGCCAGGGCTGGGAGGAGAGCGGGAGGGCTGTGGTCAGCGTGCAGCCCCCGGGGCGGTGCATCAGACCGCAGGGCTTCCGCTTCCTCCACCATGGTCTACACTGGGTTTCTCCGCCTTGGCACTGTTAGCATTTGGGGCCAGATCATCCCTTGTGGTGGTTGATGCAAGTGCTGGGGACTACCCTGAGCACTGTAAGATGTTTCTCAGCATCCCTGGTCTCTGCCCAGCTCTGACAACAAGGAACATTTCCAAGCCTTGCCAACTGTCTCCTGGGGTGTAGGGTAAAATGATCCTTGTGAAAATGTTTGAGAGTGTGAGTGTTGGGTTTGAGTCTCTGCTGTACCACGGAGGAGCCGTACGGCTTTGGGTACTTTGTACGACTGTTGTGGACCTCAGTTTTCTCAGCTATAAAATGCAGCCAGGGATGGTGGCACGTGCTTGTAATCCCACTACTCGGGAGGCTGAGGCAGGAGAATTGCCATGGATTTGGGGCCAGCCTGGGCTACATAATGAGTTCAAGGCTAGCCTGAACTGCATAGTGAAACCCTATTACAAAAAAACAAAACAACACAAAACAAAAACAAGAAGCAGATAATGAGATGCAGTATCAGAAGGTTATGTGAGGATGCATTGAAGTAGTAGGATGGGAAAATGATTGGCATAGTGCTTAACGATGGGAGATGCACAACATAAATGGTGGGTGCCTTTAACATTATTTGGGTACTTCAGACTCTGTCTTCCATTTCCTCATCCATTGGTGTAGTGCACAGGGGACTATAAACCTCTTGGGGAATCTGGGTACAATCTTGGCTCTTTGAATGAGACTCTTACTTCCTGGTTTTCCCCAACCTCCCTCTAGCTTCTTTGGGCCCAAAATTCCCAGGGGCAGGGGTGTGGGTGGGCAGAGCAGGTGGCTCTCAGAGTTCACTCCCATGCTGGAGACTTCCAGAGGCGACTTGCTGATAGAGCATAGGGACCAACGTCTGGGTTGCTGTATTCCCATTGGAGTGCAACTGGCCTCCACCAGCAGAAGTGCTCTGTGTTGAAATGTGGGTATTTCCCTGGCAACAATCTCTTGAGCTAACGTTAGCACTTGGCCATTTACTGAACATGGTGCATCTTTAATTTGCAGGGCCAGCTCCTGAGGGTGCAGTGCGTAACTGGGAACTGGTAGGGATCCCACCCGACTCCAGGGGCTGCAAGTGTGGCTTGGGCTGGACCAGGGTCCTTCTGAGAGGAGGGAGGCACAGCCTTTCAGCTGGAGTAGAGGTGTTCAGGTCCGTAGTGGTCATTTTGGAACCCCCTGGAGAGATGCACCTCCTTGTGCATGGAATGGCCCTTGGCTTTACGGACTTCAAGAATATTTAACCTCAGTGCTGGGAAAATGAAGCTGAACTTGTGCTTCTCAGCCAGAACAGTGTGGATTGTGGGCAAATGTCTTTCGAGTCCTTTTAACGTCAGTAAGGTGGTGGCATTCCTTTGTGACCTCTGGATGTGACGTGGAGCTCAGTAGGCAAGAAGGATAGTACTCTGCAGTTGGGGACGGGGCTTCCTGTAGGAGGGCTGGTGGTGTGGGTGCAGCGGGGCTGGGGTGGAGTTGGGTGAGGAATGTTGACGAGGTACATCCCGGAGCACTTAGGACCTGTTGGATCTGGGTGATGAGGAAGAGGCAGGGTCCAGAGTGACCTCTAGAGTGGCAAGAAGATTGAGAATTTGATTTTGGATTCATTAGTTAAGGCTACTCTGAGACCCATGGCCACAGCTGGCGGCATAGCCGGGCTTGGGATGAGATTCTGACTTGAGAGCCATCATGCGTAGGGCAGAGGGATGGTTGCCAGGGGAGAGAGTGGACTGTAGGAGAAGGGGCTTCTCCCTAAGCTGGGGCTCTCTTAATTACAAGAGAAGCAACCAGGACACTGAGAAGGGCCAGAATGTGCTGTGCAGAAGTGAGCCCATTGATCGAGTGGATCAGATCGGAGGTTGCTACTGCAATTTGTTTCCATCTTTCAATAGGAATTTTCATGATATATTTTCAGATGCAGTTCTGATATATCAGCAAAATCAATAATGCTTT